AAATCCTTTGAGTTCCTTGTTTATTGTATTTTTTTGATAATTGATAAACTGTTTGCTCCTATTAACAAGTCTTCATATCACTGTTAATAGTAAATATGTCTCTTTTATAATTGATCATATATAATTCTTTCTATGTATAAACCCTTATATTGTGATTATTTTATCTTGAGATTAGTATTTTTATAGTTATATTTAGTTTTGTTTATTAGTTTTAGTATTATTTTCTCCCATTGTTTTTGTAAATTGTAGAAGGTTTATACAGATAACAATATCTAAATGTATAAGTAAGGGTTAGGATTTATTAGGATAGTATATTTATCACCATGTGTCACACTGTTTGAATATTGATTTTTATTAAATATTCTGTCTTTTTTTATATGCAGAAGTTATATTTGTTATCTAATATTTGTTATCTAGTTTTTGTCACATGAATTTAATATATAATATATTTTTGATCACCTGTTGAATTATTGACCAATGAATTCTAAATCTGTTACAATAGTTTACTAATTTATTTAGTTTTTATTTACAATTGTAAATTTTTGTAATAAGCATACTTTATATACTGTTGTTGACCATAATCCGACCTTCAAGGAATACGATTAACTATTAGCTAAGGATACTGTAGCTGAACTAAAATATAATAAACTACTAACTAATTTATACTAAAAGGTAATATAGTTGAAGTATATAGATGTTGTAGATTTGTTCGAAAGAGGTAAGGCTATGAGATTTTTATAAGGGTTTAATTAAACTATTCACAAAGAATATAACTAAACTAAACTAAACTAATAATTTTTAATACTAAGTAAAGAATTATAATACAAAAACAATATACCAAGATTACAAAGCAAGGTATAATTCAACAAGGGTTTCAGTATTTCACCAAGGAATAATACAGAATTCAAGATCTCACTAATCTATTAAATATTTATACATACATATAATATTAATAAATATTTTATTTAGTGAAAAATTTACTATTGCAAAAAAAAAAACTTTTCAAATTTTTCAATAGATATAATGAAATAAAATTCTATTTCCATTTTCTATATTATATATTGAATAAATGATATTTGCTAAAAATTTACCTATTCAGATAGGTTGAGACTAGATATAATACTTTTTTGATTCAACACACAGATCCTCAAATATAATTATAAATGAATTTTTAATGTCTAAAGTTCATATAGGTGAATTCAGAAATCTGCCATATATCAAATATCCAAAAAAATATTATATAAATTTAACTGCTCAATTCTTATTAAAACTTTTAAATCTCAGACTTTAAGATTACTTGATTATTTTAATGTTTTATTAATAAACAACAAACTTTTATTTGTAACAACTTTTTGATAATTATTTTTAGATTTTTTTTTTAAACTAAATCAATATTTTTATTAATAATTTTAATTATTTTTATTCATACATAAATAAAGTTATAATTTTCACCAATAACTATAAAAGATGGTTCTAAGTTGTAGTCTATATTTTTGACTACAATTTTGTATAAGATAATAAAATATCATTGAATTTAAAAAAAATTACTATTAAGAATTAAATAATAAATAAATAAATATAATAGTTTTTAAAAAGATTGTAATACTTTAAAAAAAAAATTTTAAACTAATATATTTTAATAAATATTAATTTTATAATAATAAAATTATATTCATTAAATAACTTAAGTTTTAATTTATTTATTAAAAAAAATTTATTATAAGTTAATTAGAAAATTTTAAAATATATTTATTTATTTAAAATTTTTATGTTATAATCTTTATATAATTTTTTAAAAAATTTCTATTGTCTATATTAATTTCTTTAAAAAAAAATCTAAAAAAAAAATAAATATATTTTTTAATTATTTACTATCTATTACTATTTTGTATATTTTTCTTTTGCCTTAATCACATCTTATATTTGTTATGGCATAAATTTAATTAATTTAATACAAATACTATAATTAATTTCATTTCAAATATCTTGAATACTATTTTACAATTGATCTTTGTTTAAAATTTTTATAGAAAAATTTCTTAGATATCTATCTATCTTTTCCCACAAGTATTCAATTGGATTTAAATCAAGTAATTGTGTTAGTCAATTAAGTACTTTTATATTATTCTCATCAAACCATTCTTTAATAAGTTTAACTGTATATTTGGAATTATTATCTTGTTGAAAGATAATATCCTCCTTATTTAAATTATAATCAGAAATGGTTTCTAAAAGATCTTCTGTTAATATTTGTCAATAAAGTTTTCTCATTTATTTTTTCATCTATTTTACACATGTTCCCAACATCTAATATTAAAAAGTACTCCAGACTATAATATTTTCACCACTAAATTTTACTGTAAGCTTTACATATATCTCTTAATGGTTCTCCCTTTTTCTTCCAATAGTATTCTCTTCTATCACTGCTAAAAATATTAAATTTGTTTTCATCAGATCAGATTACCTTTGACCAGTCTTCAGTTATCCAATTTCAATATTTTTTAGCAAAGGTTAATTGTTAATTTCAGTGTCCCTTTTTTAAATACAGTTTTTTTTTTAGTTCTGGCACATAATCCATTTTTACAAAGTGTTTAGCATATGGTTTCAGCAGAAACCTTTATATTTTCTTCCATTTCAAGTCTCTCTCTTATTCTAATCACCATGAATCATTTGTAACAATTAAATGAACAGCTTTTCTTTAATAACGGTCATATAACAAGTGAGAACATCCAGGAATTTTTTTATGTTGAATACTTCCAGTCTCATTAATATTTTTACAAATTTGTAAGACCATAGAGTAGTAAATCCTTTCCGAAAGACAATTGTACAGAGAGAATACTCCTCTTTATGATAAGTCATGTGTTTTTTTTTAATTTAAATATATGAAATAAAGATTGGTGGTTGTTTTTACTTAATGAAGTAAGGAATGGTTTATTATTAAATTTTTTATAAACTTCGAATAAAACTTATTTTTTAAAAACCACAAAAAGATTGCCAAGATAAACAAAATCGGATTGGCTTATGGTCACATGGTGTAAATCACAAGCAATAATTAGATAAATAAAAAGTTTATACATATTAATTTAATTAAAATTTTAATTAATTAATTTTTAAATAGAAATAATAATTTTTTTTTTGCAAGTGTTGCAATCTTTTTGAGAGCTACTGTAAATTGAAGTTCGCGTTCAGTAGATAACGTTTATATATTTATAATATTTTAGTATAGTACAACTGCATAAATCCGAAATTATCATAATCATAAACGTTGGTATAATTAAAAAGATATTATTAAAATATCACAAGAACTATCTTATAAAGTCCCTTTCTCCATTAACATCATAAAAAGCAATGGTTCTAATTTAAATATGTTTTTAGTTTCAAATAAAGAGATATGCCTTTTTTTTTGTTAACTATTAAAAAATTAATATATATATATAATTGTGAAAAATCGCCCCCAAAATATAAATCCTTTCCGTTTCTAGCGAATCACGAATTAATTAATTAATAGATAGAGATAATTTGAAAATTTTTTGTTTAATTGGTAACGGTAATAAATAAAAATTTTCTAAAGCATGGAATTCCACTCAACCAAACGATGATAATTGTTAGGTAACACGCTTAATATTAATACATATCAAATCGAACACAATACAGATTATCGAAAATAATTTATGTATTAAATTATCATTATGATAATTTTTGCAGGATGCAAAAGTATTTGTCATCTGGAAATAAGAAACTGAAATTGTATTGCCTTTTGGTCATGCTTTTTCTTTGAATGTTAAAACAACGTGTTCACTAGAGCCTCACTCCAAGACGTTTATTATATTGAAAATAAATATACAATTTATTAAACAAATAAGTACATAAAGGAGTTTGCTAAAACTAAATTATTAATTAACGGCACGGACCATCGTTACTTAGTAGACCTGAGAAACTGATTAGCCGAGCCCTGTCAGTTAATTTTATAATAACGCGAAGTTCCCATTATTCTAATCCATTCAAAAATTTTGTATATAGCCAACGTTCGTAATGAATTTCTCGTTTCTCCCAAACTGTAATTTATGTCATATATGTGAAGTATTCACTTGCTGCTGCTGTTCCGGAATTAAGTCGTTGTAAAATCTTAATGCCAAACTTGTGTCTATTGGTGTAGTCGCAAGTTTTAAATTGTTTATTAAATTGATAGATGGATGATTATTTTCGTAGGGATATTGCGTTCCGTTCATTTATTTATTACATTACCTGATTCGCTTGGCGATTTGCATTTTTATTTACAATTAAAATAAATAAATAATAATTTTTTTACAATGACTACATATGCACATTTAATTTCCAAAAGAATAAAACATTGAGAGATGAACAAAAAAAAATTTATCGTAAAACATCGAGCAAGTTGAGAAATGATGAATGAATGAATGAAAATATATCGTGTGCATCTACAATGCAAGTATTCTACATACTGTATATATACGTGTGCATACATTCATACATATATATATATATAATGTACCATTTTAATTATCTGTTTTATTGAGAATTGAGAAATGATAATAACCGATATAGTAGATAAAGTGAAAGTGAAAATGAAAGAGAAAAGGAAAATAGTGAAAGAGAGAAAGAAAGAAAGAAAGAAAGAAGAAAGAGAGAAATAAATAAACAAATAAACAAATCAATGCATGAAATAAAATAAAATAAATGCATTTATTTATATATAAAGAATGAAAGATAAATGACATGAAATGAACCAGAATAATAATAATTCTGAATTTGGCTAAATAATTTTTTTTTTTTTTTTTTTGCATATCAGATATATAAATCTATTTTACATCATATTATATATATATACAATCTATAAATTATAATAAATTTATAATAATAATAAATTAAAATTAAATTAAAATATTTATTTAATTATCGCATATTTTACGTCTTTTTCTCCTTTGAGAATTTTCAGGGTCAAAAGAATTATCGAATGAATTGGATGAGTTGAATGAATTGACAGAATGAGCATGTTTTTGGTGATATTTTAATCCCGACAACAAACGAAATCTTGATTCACAATCCGATTCCTTACACTCATTACAATTTTCATTTTCATTTTCACTTAAATGATGATGTTGACGTTGATGTTGATGTTGTTGGTGTTGGTGTTGATGATGATGATGTAAATGATTTAATTGAGCAAATCTTTGATGATAATTTTCACATTCATATTCATATGATGATGATGATGATGATTTTTCGTCTGTGCATATCATCATCATTCTTTGATTATGATATTCGGATGAAATAGTTAATGAAGGGTTACAATGAGGAGACGATGATAATGATTTTTCATTTAAGTAATCATCACCTTTGATATTCGGATCGATTAAATAATTATTATTATTATAATCAATATCATCATCATCATTATCACTTTCATTCTTATTTTCAAATTCTATAGAATCATTTTTGTTGGCGTTATTATCATCATCATAATAATCGTCATAATCATCTTCATCTTTATAGTCATCGTTATAGTCATTGTTACAGTCCAGAGAGAAATTAGTCATTCTAGTTTCAAGTTCTTCACTTGTCATCGACTCATTATTATTATTATTATTATTATTATTATTATTATTACTATTGTTATTATTATTATTATTATTGTTATTATTATTATTGTTGTTGTTGTTGTTGCTGTTGTTGTCGTCGTTGATAAAATTGTTGCTTTTTTCAGATTGCTCATTTTCATTAGTGAAATTAGGTGTAAATAAATCATCCAATAAAGGATAATAACAACCGAGACCATTAAATAAAGATGACACGAAAATATTGTTACTATTATTGGTATTATCATTATCATTATTATCATTTATGTTTTCTTCACAATCTGTATTATAATAATATATTATCATTATTATATTATATTATATTATATTATATTATATTATATTATGTTATATTATATAAATGATTTAAAATATTTATTATATGAATATATAAAATAAAATACCTTTTTGTTCCAATTCATTTAACATCTGCATATTTCTCCTCATATCGGATAAAACTTTATTGTCATCAAGAGAATAATTCTCGATTGTAACATATCCTTCGCGATTGTCATAACTATTACTATGATAACGATTATCATTCGTTTGTATTATCTCTTCTTGCATTATTTCTTCTTCTTGTCTAATTTCTCTTTCTTCTTGTGGTTTTGATTCATAAGGATTATTATGAGTTGAGAACATTGATAAAATTTTATCATTATCCTTTATACTATTATTATTATTATTCCCAATAATATTCTTTATTTGTGTTTTTGTATCATTTTGATCAAATGTGATTTCAAGATTATAATTGTTGTCCTCATAATAATAATCATCATAATTAGCATTATTATTACTATTATTACCATCACCATTAGTATTAATCTTTGATTCTTCAATATTAGTTGATGATTCATTTTCTATTATTGATATTAATCCGACATTATTATTATTATTATTATTATTATTATCCATTAATCCATTCATTAATAATCCATTCATTATTAATCCGTTCATTAATAATCCATTCAATAATAATCCATTCATTAATATTCCATTCAATAAGAATCCATTTTGTTCGGTGTTAATATCTTGAACAATATTATTATCATTTTCTTCTTCTAATGTCGTCGTTGTCGTTGTTGTTAATCCAAGTAATGATTGATAATAATAATATATTTGTGAATTATTATTAATATTCCAATTATTATTCCAATTTGAAATATTTTCTTGATTAAAAAAATCAATATCAATTGGAAAGTTATTATTATAATTTATGTCATAATTATTAATTAAAGTCATGGTGGTGTCTAAATAAATAGTTATATACATATACATATAGATATATATATATATATATTAATACAATACAATACGGTATATGAAATATAAATAATAATAAAAATAATAATAATACCTAAATTATAATAAGATAAAAATTCTTGAATATCTATTGAAGTGTTGTTGACCATTGTGTTATTATTCAAAGACACGACATCTACAAAATAAACAATAATCATTGTCATGTGAATATTCTAAATATATATATATTAATTTTTTATATATTATATCTGATGACTATACACATGATTTTTTACCTTGATGAATTTGACTTTGAACTTGACTTAGAACTTGACTTAGAACTTGACTTTGAACTTGACACGGAACTTGACTTTGAACTCGAAATTGATCTTGATTTTGTATTGGTAAAAAGGTATCATTAATAGTATTAATGTCTAGCGAAATGTTTGAAGCCATAAAGTTTTCATCGTCTACATTATAAAAAAAAATTTATTATTATTATTATTATTTATTATTTATTATTTATTTATTATTTATTTAATTATTTTTATTAGTAATTAATTATATGTAATGAATTGAATTCGGATTAATAAATAAAATAAAAAAGGAAATGATGATCACATGAATGCAAAATATCATCTGAAGTGGAGTATGTCATGATGTTCTCGTTTGTGGACGTTCCTATTTCAATTTCAATTAAATAATAATTATATAATAATGATATGTATATAATATAAAAAAATTCGACGAGAATATTGAAATATTTAATAAAAGAAAAACACGTGCATTGATTCAAGGGTGATGATGATTGTAAGTATTGTATATTTTTATTACCTTGATTCCTTGACTGTAAAAATCCATTGTCATTAAACTCATTAAACCCATTAAACCCATTAAACCCATTAAACCACGTGGAATATATTTGCAAATTCATATTAGTTACATCTGTTTCATCTATTCACATATAAAAGAATTTAATTATTATTATATTATTATTATTATTATTATTATTATTATTATTATTATTATTTGAAGATCAAGGAAATTCAAATACCTTGATTCCATAATGGTAAATAATTGTAAAAGAAATTCATTGTAAAATAATTTATCGTTTTTATTTAATTATTTGATTCTTTTCTTTTTCTTATTTTCAAAATTTAAACAATTTTTTTTAATAATTTAAATTATTGAAATGATGCGGAAACAGGAAAGTAAAATAATAAAGAAAAGATAATCAAATTGAAGAGGGGATGAAAAGAAAAGAAGTAAAATTGGTAAAATTGGGTTAAAAAAAAAAAAGGATATAATTTTTATACGTGTAGAAATCAATTATGATTATTATTATGACACATGTTTTTATTGAAAATATCTTTTATAAACAAAAAATATTTAATATTCGTCATTCGTCATCGAACACTAATCAATTATCAGATATCAGATAATTCGAACTACGCAAGATGCAAATTTATTCTCCTTTTTGGAATGACGTATAAATTCATAATATTTATTCATTCACTTTATCATTTAAATTATCAATTTATTATTATATCAGATATTGCCCAAAATTTTTTAATAACAATGTGACTATAATGTTTATTAGTCAGCTTTTCGTCAATTTTTTTTACTAATATTTTTTTGGTTAACATTATCTATTATAGTTTATTTACGTTCTATGAATATTCTTTTATATTCTATTCTTTGATGGTTGGAGTTTTAAACTTGATAAATTCGATAAGTTAATATAAGTCAAGTTAATTAAAGTTAAGTTAATATAAGTTAATTGAAATTAATTTATTATCTAATTAAGCATTGAAAAAAATATAACCGAGTTAAAATAATAATTTTTAATTGATTAAATAATTTTTATGATAATAAAAATAATTCATTCAATCAAGGAAAAAAAAAAAAAAAGATTCATAATAAAAAAAAAAATTCCTTTAGATGGATTATATAGTTTTTCTATCATTACATAAATGTCATTGCATATATACACAAACCATTTCAAATTACTAATTTTAATTTATTGTGGGTTTGATTTCCTATTACGTTCTGATAAAAAATTTTATTTATGATATGATCATCTATTATTATTCATCCAGTTATTTATTAATTCTTATTAATTATTATTATTAAATGTGTAATTTTATATAATTAATTTTAAATAATTTTTTAATTCAAACCTTATTTTATTGAAATCTAAAAAAAAATCATCTGTTATTACTAATATTATTTATTTCTGTTAATTATTACTATTCTTTTATTCTGTGATTCTCTTATTCTGATATTCTGTTATTCTTTCTGTTATTTATTTTTATTTATTATTTTATTAGTCATTCAAACAATATGTGTCGTTGTTGTGTTGTTATTGTTATGTGTCCTGTCCCTCCTCTTTTAACATCATTTTATATTTGTTATCACGTGTAAATCCGTTGTTTAAAGTACGTGTAAATATTGATACATGTTGGCATACATATTTGATTATTATTCAATATTTATTCATACTGGCTGGCACATTTTATATTTAATTATATTATTATTATTATTATTATTATTATTATTATTTATTTATTTATCAAAACTAATCGTCACATGCACATTCATGCATTTTCTTTGTGGGTAATATGAGCAGTTATCAACAGTATCAACGGTATTATTTTGATTTTTAAAGTATCCAATTACATACATACAATTACATAAACAATTATATACACAAAAAATATATAAAGGAGTAAATAATATATTTGTATGGTATTTTCCCTTAGGGGTGATGAAATCATGGTGTTGTCATTCTTTCATTCATTCATTCCTTCATTTTTTCACTCACTCACTTATACTCACTCCCTCACTCGCTCCCTCCCATCCACTCACTCACTCACTCACTCACTCACTCACTTCACTCACACTCAATCGATCACTCATTCATAAAAATCATACAAAATCATAATCACCCATACAAAAAAAAATAAAGTTGAAGTCATTATAAATAAATATAAATATATACGTATATGAATGTTATATAATGTAATAATACAATATACACAGATGTGACCAAATATGGATTCTTCAATATGAACAATATAATATTGTCGTATAAGGAAATGGTGGTGAAGTTTAAGTCTTCTATTTTCTTTTTCATTTATGTTTACTATATTTATTTATTTTAATTTATTTATTTTATTTATTTATTTTAATTTATTTATTTATTTATTTATTTATTTATTTTTAATTGCTTATTTATTTATTTATTTACTTATTTATTTACTTACTTATTATTTAATTTAACTATTTTATAATAATTTATTTACTTAATTTAACTATTTTTTTTTTTTAAATTTAATTCAATTTTAATTTTAATTTAGATTATTCATTTTATTTTTTTAAAAGATGTGATTTGATGAATTTTAAAGTGGGATGATTATGATGATGATGCATCGAAATACGGATATCGTAAATTGCGGAAAAGAGCTTTATAATATGTTGTATTTCGGTGTGTATCTCGTGTATTTCGTTACCACACACATATTATTATTTTTTTTGTATTCAAGAAAAAAATGAGTTTCTTCTTCTTAATTAGTAATAATAATGAATGGATAAAAAATCAATTTTAACAAACAATACCAAATAATAATAATAATAATAATAATACCAAATAATAAATTATAACATAACAACAACAGACCAGGCATCAAACATGTTTCAAAAAAATTTCTTTTTATTCCAATAAGATTAGATTAATAAATTAGATTAATTAATCAAGAAATAAATCAAGAATAAATCAAGAATAGATTAAAATAATAATAATAGATTAATAATAGATTAAGATTGGTTAGAAATTTTTTTTTTCTCAATGAAAACAAAAATGGACAAGATGTTGATAACTGTGATACATTTATTTATAAATGAAACAAAAAAAAATATATTATTTTATTTTTAATTTTTTAATTTTTTTTTTTTTTTAAAATTTTTTTTAAAAAAAAACTAAATGTCAAAGCCCTGGAATAAATATAAATAGAAAAACGGTTTTTTTTTTTAAAAAAAAAATATGATAATATTGTATTTTTCAAGGCCAAAAAATAATAAAAATTAATAAATAAACCCATGGAGCAAATAAATTAAAATTTTTTTTTTTTTTTTGAAAAAAAATAAAGATGATGGAAAAATTATTAAAGAGAAACCATTAAAAAAAAATAAATTTAATAATGTAATTATAATAAAAATAATATAATGTAATATTAATTAGATATTTTAATTATATCGAGAAGATATAACATTTAAAATAAAAAATTTTATTCTTCTTCAAGAAAATGAAAACTTTAAAATCCAATATTCATTAGAGAATGAAAAATGAAAATCTGAAAAAAAAATGAAAATCTGAAGAAATGAAGAAGTCCCTGTAACCAAAATCTTTTTAAAGTTCTCATATATCAAATATATTTGGAAAGTTCAAAGATACACGTGATACATTCAATGTTCATTAAAATTTCTATATTGGTGGTCAATCTCCCAAATCTCCCCCATTTGAATTTTTACGTGTCACTATTATTTATTATTTATTGTATTTTTATTGTATAATAAAAAGGATAAGGATAAATAATAACAAATATATATATTTGATATATAATTTTTTTTTTTCGATTTGATGTCGATCTAAACTTGGTTCCGTTTCTCCGTTTCATGTCACCATCATCAATCGATTACTAATTATTGTTTACTTTATTTATAAAAAAAAAAAAAAAGGGAATAAAAAAAAAAAAAACGAATACCTTTTTCTTCTTCTTGCTTGGCTTGTTCTTATGTATAATAAAGAAAATTACTTACGGGGTGTACATATACGTCAAGGTAAGGTTTTTTTTTATTCCTTCGGTTCAGTTTTTTTTTCATAAAAAAAATATAAATAGAATAAATACAGAATACATACATAGTAGATACATATATATAAATACTTGGTTTATCATATCAAGACTTTTTTTTTTTTTTCTTCCTTCACTTCTCACCTTTTTGTTGGATAATAAATATTTTTTATCTTTAGTAATTATATAAAAAGATAACAAAAAGTTTTATTTTTCCTTTAAACAAACACATACACACATATACTTTATACATTTCATATAAATATATATATACTCTTATATCCATTTTTATATATATGTAAAGAACTTTTTTTTTTTTTTTTTTGGTAAAGGAAGGAAAAAATTTTTTTCTTTTAAAATATATATCTTGTATTTTATAATATAACATTTTTATATCTACAAGCTATAATATTTATATTTATATAATTATTTATTTATTATTTGAAACCAATAGTTGGATGTTAGTTGGATGTTTAATATCAAACATCAAAGAACATAACATTTATCTATAATTTATAAGATGAGATCTTCTTTAATACTTTGATCCTAACACAAATAATTTTGAAAAAAAAATATAATAATAATAAAAAGAAAATGGAATATTCAGTGCAATTTTCAAGTTATAAACGACGGAAGACAACAACCAAGTCTCGCGGTAAAGGAAAAGGGAGGGCTTTTCCAGTGGGACCTGCTTCGACTCCAATTAATTCTCCGGATCTTCCTATTGCTATGAGAATGCCACAGGAAATACTTAATACAATATTCAATAATCTTGTGGATCATCCTGTACATTTTACTCGAGTGGCTCAAGTTTGTAAATCATGGCAACTCGCTTCTGACACTCACCTTTATTGGATGTATTTGGTAAAAAAACTTAATTTGAATCCTCCTAAACCAAGAGCTAAAAAATTTAAGACTTTCAAACAGGTGGTTGAAAGGGATTGGGGAACTTTTTGTAGTTTATGTTTTCGGGGCTCTGGTAATGGACATGGTCGTTTATATGTTCGACCGGCCGTTATAGATTTGGTTACTATTGCAGAAATTTATAAAGAGTTAAAGACTACTTGGTTTAAGATCTTTGAAGATAATAATGAATTTCAAGTCTCTTTTGATAGGGAATTACGGGAAGTGGAAATTAGTCATAATGAAGAAGCTTTTAAATTGACAAACAATCTTCGAGAAGAACAAAATGACTCGGTAATAGAAATAGATAAAGATCAATTCTATCGAGAAGTTTCTGTCTCAAGGAGTACAGTTCCTACATTAACATCTCTTACTCAATCGTCATCCTCAACCTCATCTTCTTCCGCGACCATAACTCCACCTCAACAGTCTTCATCTGTAATCTCTCAATCATCGTCGTCGTCGTCATCGTCTTCTTCGGCTCCATCATCATCCCAACCTTTTTCATCTGTAACTTCTCGACCATGTCCTGAAAATGCTTTTATAACTCCATCATCTGATCCATTCATGTTATCATCACCACAATCTATTTTATTTGGACTTCCAACTGATAACAATTTCTTGTCCACGGATTTATATCCACCAATTAATAATGATTTCCCGTCATATATTCCCAATAATAGCAGTACCAATAATAGCAGCAACATTAATAACAACAACAACAATAATAATACCATTACTGCTACTAATAATAGTTTGGTTAATTACTGTGGGGAATCATCGTCTACCGTAATTTTGGATAATTATCCGGATATGGATATTGACTTTTTCGAAAATTTCAAAAATTTTATAGATTTTGATCTTGGAATGGCTCCACAAACAAGTTCGAATAATTCTTATTTTCTCGATGAAAACAATTCCAATAATAACAATAACAATAACAATTCCATCAATTCCATCAATTCCATCAATTCCCTTATGAACCCAATTCCAACTACTAATAACAACAACAATAGTATTAACAATAATATTAACAATAACAATAATAGTAATAATAGTATCAACAACATAACAAACATTAATACTAACAACACTGCGAATATTAACAATATTAGTAATATTATTAATAGTAACACCGTGAGCATTAACAACAATATTAACAATAGGACTGTGAACATTAACGACATTAACTCAATTAACAACATTACCAATTCTACTAACATTACCACCACCACCACTAACATAAGTAACATCAACGTCAATACTTCTATTACCTCTATCACTAACGGTATTAATAATATAAAAAACGCCACCATCAACACCACCACTACCACCAATAACAGTAACACCAACAATAATATCAACAACAATGTTAATATGCGTGCCATCACTACCATTAACAATCGAATCAACTCCACAACCACCAACTTCAAACCATTCACTACCGCTTCTACTTCATCTACAAAGCCAAATCAATCAACACCTTTTATTCTCGTTAAACATCACCTTTGTAAACCTTGCAAAGCACAAATAGGTATCAATTTAACGCACCCCTTTGAAAGATCTGCCTTCCTTCATTCATTATTGAATGATAATGGTTTAACGAATTCAAATCATGAAAGAATGGTTCATGATTATGTAGATAAAGGTATTGGTAATCCTATGGCCATAGTAAAATATTTAATTGAAAAACGTTGGTTCTTTGATCACACCGGTTACGGATCATTGGAAGCCGATAATCAATCGATTCCTGAAAAAGATCGAAGAATGTTGGCATTACAAATGTGGGTTAGGAATAGAATTGATAATGGAAATATTCTTTCACCTAGAAATGATTCAGAACATGAAGGTAGAGCTCCAGCATCTTTATGGCCAACGATTGATCAAATACTTTATGATTTATTAGCATCAGATATGATTTCTCCAAGTAATCAACCTGATTATATCGAAATCAATAGTGATAACGGTGATTCAAGACCTGTTATTTTGATAAATGATTAATATATACTCCTTTAGATATTCATTAGAATTCAATATTCATTGATATTTCATTGATTGATATCTTTTATATCTTTTGATATTCGTTGATATCAGTATGGGGGGAGTTGATTAAATCCATTAAAGAACGATGGAAGAGCATTCCAGTGGTATTCGAAAATATCAAACATATATCAAATTGAATATTTGTGTTTTCATTTTTATTAGTTATATATTAGCATTTTATTTTTTGACGACAAAACACAGAGATTTTCTCTCAAAATTCAAAATTTTCAAGAATATTTCTTCATATTTTTTTTCCATTTTTTTTTTCCCTACCAAGGAAAAACACAAGATAATAAATATCCAATATAAACAATTGATATTTTTCTTTTTTTTTTTTTAAAAAAAAAAAAAATTAAGTTCCATGCCATACCATATCACACCATATGATCATATTATGAATTTTTTCATGTTTGTAATTTCCAAAGAATTTTTTTTAAAAGATCTCGATTATATATATATATATTATTTAGATGATTTTTTTTTTGTAAACAATTTTGTTTTGAAATAAAGATTTCGTTAGATTATTACTAAAATTTGAATTACTCGTATAGAATATGACTTAAACTACGATGTGAAATAAAGTATATATATATTTCAGTTTTGTGTACAGAAAAGATGCATATTAAGAAAATTCGAGAAGTTTTCTATTTTTAAAAGTGAAAGCCTGAGCCCGACTATATAAGAATCAAATGATTAACTCATTTATTTTGAAACTCGGGACTATTTATAAACGTAAAATAATAAAGATAAAAAATAAAAGAGATTTTAGACTTGAAATTGAGAGCCTAAATTTGAAGAACCAGCCATCCCAAATTCTTCATCTAAAATAAAAATTAAAAAAAAATCATACAAACGAATAATAATTTAGAAACGTAAAAATAATAATGAAATCAATTAATTACAACGAGATTTTTTTTTTTTGAATTATTAGCTCCAATACTTTCATGATACAATTGATCGATTTCTATAATAGCATCAATATACTTAAATTTAATTTCTTTAGTTCTTTAAATAAATAAAATATAATTTCATTAAAAAATATAAAAAATAATTTTGCCATCAGAAATTTGCAAATAATTTAGTTGGCTAAATGGATAAACTTGTATATTATTATATATTGATTAAAATAACGATTTTACTTACTTTTTTGTTCTTCTATGGAAATTAATAATAATTTAAAATAAATAAAAAAATTATTAACAAAAATAACAAAAGAAACTAATAAATTGTAAAATATATTTACCATCAGTGGCATTTCTGAGTTGCTTTTGAATGCAGTGGAAATAATATAATTATATTATTTCCACTTAGTTTAGGTTATGACCATCAGATGTGACGATGGGATCACATGTCTGTCATTATTCGAGTGATGACAAGTTCACAAGTTTGTCTTCAAACTTGGATTCTTATGATATATAAAAAATGTGATGACTAATTTGCATTCGTGTCGTTACCTGACCATATAAATTTTCATATGCTAGCTTAACACACCCGATTGATTTCCATTGTAAGGAAATAACTGAGATAGGTTATGATGAGTCAGGTATATATCGTGACAACAGAAATTTGACACTGTCGTCATGTAATCTGATGACAAAAGTTGGTCACATCAATTTTTATTGTAAAGAAATAGCTGAGTTAGGTTATGGCGCCCGTTGTTACTATTTTTTTTTTTCTTCCTCTTCTTATTCGGTTTATTTTTATATCCTTGCTTATAACTGTCACACTCTGTTACCTTTTATTTTCGCCTTCATAATCCTTCTTTTATCTGTCACCGCCCTCTTTATTGTTCTCTTTACCCTTCTTTAACTACTTTATATATATTTTACCCATGTTACCTCGACCCTTGCTTTAATTTTGGCTCCTTTGTTGTGCCCTCTAAAGAGTGGGCTAAACCTATTTTGAAATTCCTAACCCTTTCAGAATTTTATCTTAATCCTAAACCTTTTGCCCAAACCTCCTAAACTATCCTAAACCTCAACTATCCGAGATCTCCTAAATTGTCCTAAACCTCCTAAATTATTCTAAATTGTTCTAAACTTCTTAAACTATCTTAACTTTTTTAAAATATTATATCTAATACTAGTTAGAGATCCGCTGTGGAACAACGGGAACATATAAATGTAATACATTACACATATTAATTTATGGGAAATTTTAAACTGTGCGTAGGGGTACAGATCCTTATCCTATCACCCCCTGGGGGGGAATAGATTTTTATTCTGTAACCCTTTACTGATATTTACGTGATCATAACAATAATATATTGTTTTGACCACCATACGTCTGCTTGCTCATGGAAGACAATAGTGAATATGAATCAGTATTTTCTGAACCTCCCGAAAATACTCTTATTTCCAATATTGAATTAAATGAAGGTAATACTTACTCCTCAGAAAAAGCCTTTATAACTGCAGTTAAATCTTATGCAAAACAAAAAGGTTTTCAAGTTCGCTTAGCAAGAACAGAAAAAAATGCAGCAGGCCAAATACGTAAAAGAACAATTGTTTGTAGCAAAAAAGTTTTATCTGATAAAAATAAATCTACAAATAAAAGAAATCGGGCTTCACAACGATGTAATTGTCAGTTTGCAGCTCGTGTGTCACTTAATTAAAATAATGGACTTTGGTACTTAATTTTTGTACATTTGGAACATAATCACTCTATGGTACCCAAAAATTCTCGTCAATTTATGTATACAGAAAGAACTATTCCAATTGAGTCTCAAGAAAGAATTCTTTTACTCCGCCGTGCTGGATGTGAAGTTCCTATAATTCGCCAAATTTTAAAAGAAGAATTTTCAAATATTGTTACATGGATATATAGTGATTTGTACAATTTTATTTATCAAAAGAAGGAATACTAATGATTTTGTAAAAGAGTTAGAAAATCTTAAAGCTCAAGATAAAGAATTTTCTTATGAAATTTTAATTAATCCTATAACAAACGAATTTCAACAAGCAATTTGGATGTTTCCTAATCAAAAAATAAACTATTGTCGTTTTTATGATGTAGTTGTTTTTGACAATACATATAAAACAAATAGATTTGGGATGCCCTTTGGTATATTTACAGGAGTATCTAATTTTGGACAAAGTGAATGTTTCGCAGGCACACTTATGCGGGATGAAAGTTTTGAAAGCTTTACTTGGGTTTTTACAAGTTTTTTAAAAATGGTTAATAATGTTGCACCAAAAGTAATTTTAACAGATGAAGATCAGGCAATTATAATATTTAAATATTTTTTTTAATAAAAATTAATATTTTTTTACTTTTTTTTTTTAGTGATGACAATGAAATAGAAAGTTTATATTGTGTAGAAAGATTTAATAAACAAAAGAAAAGAATTGTTAAATATAATTTGACAAATAATAATTTTTTGTGTTCATGTTGTTATATGAATTTTACTGGTATCATCTGTTGACATATTTTTAAAGTAGCAACTCAATTAAATTTAGAAGAACTTCCCCAACATTTATTTTTTATGAGATGGTGAAAGGATCCAAGTGAAAATATATTAACTAAATTATATAAATTATTTTATAATAATAGTGAAGAATTAGAACTGAATGAAAGTACCAATTATATTAATGAAAACGAAGATTATGAATATCTTTTAAACCGAGTTTGGTATAAAGTTCAACAAATAGTAAAAGCCAAACCCAAAACAGCAAAAAAATTTTATAATATATTGGATGAATCAGTGAAAAAAGAATTTTCTATTCAAATACCAGGAAAAGAATTTCAATCACAAAATAACAATATAATTAAAAATTCAGCAATTATAAAAGGCAAAGTTAAATTTTCTCGATATATATATTATTTTAAGTTTATTTATTAATTTATTTTTTTAATAATTTTAAGTCGTGTTTCTTAAAAAAGAATTAAAAGTGGATGCGAGACAAATAAACCTTCTAAAAGACAAGCATTAAATGTACATCAACAAAATATAGTTCAAAATAAAGAAAATAGATTTCAAGGTTTGATTTTCTATTTGTTTATTTGATTTATTTATTTATTCAAATATTTTTAACATTATTTTATAATAGAAAATAATCAAAATATTTCTGGAAGAAAATGCAACACCCTCTTCCTCAGGTTTGTTTTATTTATTTATTAGGAATTATTTTTGTTACGTTAATTAAATTTTGTTGCATTAAATAAATTAATAATAAATTTGATTATTTAATAGATAATAAATGTCCATTTTGTGTAGAATTATTGCCTAATCCTCTTCCATCAGAGATTCGCCTTTTATTAAATAAAATTCACCACCAAGATGGTAAAAATCATTATTATTAGTTAAAATATATTAAAATTCTATTTACATTATAGGTAAACCTACTCAAGAGGACCGTCAATTGTTTTGTAAAATTCATAATACCAAAACTATAGAAGAAAGTAATTTATGTATATAAAAAGTTATTTTCTTATATGCATTGATTTCATTAATAAAATTTAAAAATTTAACGGAAAAGAATGTGTTTATTGAAATTTCAAAGTTTTTTTTGAACAATGAACTTGTCTTAAATGATATAAAACATCTTAACCAATTATATTTGGAGGGCTCACAGGATAAGAGTGTATTCCCCCCATGAACACGATAAAATCCTGTACGGGGGGGACAGGATAAGGATCCTTTTAATTTATAGAGTCAACTAAACGTGCCATGTTATACACGAATTTTTTTATAATATAAGTAAAAAAGCCTTTAACTCAATTTCAATTTTTTCAAGTTTTAATTATATCCAACTTAATAATTATATCAATTTACTATATAAAAATAAAAATTTTGCTTAACTTAATTTCGATTTTTATTTGTATCTGTTCTATTTAATCATTGAGTTTATAATCATCAATTAATTGTAAATTTCATATTTATTAATTATTTATAAGTTTGATATATAACTTTGAATTAGAACTAAATAATAAGAAACAATTTTCTACTAAGATATTTTTAGTATTATTTGAAAAATATTGTTTCTGATTTTATAATTAAAATTAAACTATCTTTTAAAATTATTACTTATTTAATTATCACTATTCAAAAATAATATAATTTCTGATTAATTTATATAACAGGAATTAATTTTCTATTAGAATATTTCTATTACTATCTGAAAGTTCTTACTTTAGATTTAACAATAATTATTAAATTATCCTTCTAATACTAATATTCATCATTCATCAAGTTATTGTTATCTAAGATAATCTTATTAAAATACAAAAATTTATAAAGTTTATAAATTTATTATTACTAATTTTTTATTTTCTGATTAAGGAGTAATTTTTTATAATATCATTTGAAAAATCAACATTCTAGCTTTATAATTATAGTTGAATCACCTTTTAAATAATTATAACAATATATTAAAAATGATTTTATTAATTATTTATAACAGAGTCTTTAATTAACTTTATTAAAAATTAATATCAGAATTTTAATTAATGCTCTATTACACTAAATATTAAATTAAAACTTCATTAAAACATTCTTCTTTACTTGTATTTGAATATAATTCTTTTTATAAATTTTGTTAAAATAAATTAATTAATCAAAAAAGTATAAAACACATTAGACAATTTAATTAGGTGTAAATTTATGGAAATATCACATGATCTACAGAAATTCATGCCTAAAAAATTTGATTTTTTAATGTCAGCCGAGATTTAGGCAACAGGGAGTGATTTTCTACTAAGATATTTCTAAGATATTTCTAAGATAGATCGAAAGCCCTGGTTTTTGGCTACAAGATAATATATGTTTCATTACTATATCATCAATATTCGTGAAAAAATTCACATTTAAATTCAAATGTCTGTGAAAATTTACAGAAAAATTATGACATAAATTTTCACAGACATTTGAATTTAAATGTGAATTTCTCTGCAAATATCAATACTATAGCAATGAAACATATATCATCTTGTAGTCAAAAACTAGGGCTTTCGATCTATCTTAGAAATATCTTAGAAATATCTTAGTAAAAAATTACTCCCTGTCATCTAAATCTCAGCTGAAGTTAAAAAATCAAATTTTTTAGGCATAAATTTCCGTAGGTCATGTGATATTTTCATAAATTTACGCCTAATTAAATTTCCTGATGTAACAAATTGAATTGTATATTTAACATTTTAAATTAAAAAAAATTCAGATATTAATAATAATATTAGTTTATATTAAAGTAGATTATGATATAAAAATGAAAATAAAATAAATAAAAAATTAATTTTTTGTTCTTTATATTGATAAAGAATAGTATCAAGTCATTGCATCAAGTTTAGATATACTTTGCAATATGATCATCAAAAAAATTTATAAATTACAAATTAAAAATAATTCATTATCATTACTACATATAAAATTTTTTATTTTAATAAAACAATATCAAAATAGTATTAAGTAATCTTAAAGATATGAATTAATTGCACCTCTCATAAGAAGAATAGATATATATAATTAAAATAAAGAAAAATTTAAAACTACTATAATTTACTCAATTTTGATAAAATTAATTGTACTTTTTACATAAGTACAATTAATTTTTATGTTTGAGTTTATTTAGTACTGTTTTGACTATACATGTTTCCAAAATTAATTTTAGATTTTTGAGATATTTCAACTTTTTGAAATTTATGCAAAATTTATTTTATATATAGAAGTAAAAAAAAGTATCCAGTTATATATATATTCAATCAAAAAAATAAATCTGGATGGTCTAAAAATTTCAGATTTTAAGTAAAATAATTTTATCTTCAATGAAAAACTATTTTGACTTTTCTTCAAAATTATAATTTCAGGCTTCAAAATAATTTTGCATACAAGTATAGTTTTGACATTTACTTATAAAATAAAAAATTTTATATATTGTTGACCATGATCTGACCTTCAAGAGATACAATAACTATTAGCTAAAGATATGGTAACTAAACTAAAATATAATAAACTACTAACTAATTTATACTAAAAAGTATAATGTTTGAAAGATTTAGATATTACAGATTTGTTCAAAAGAGGTAAGGCTATGAGATTTTTATAAAGGTTTAACTAAACTATTTACAAAAAATATAACTAAACTAAACTAAACTAATAATTTCTAACACTAAGTAGAGAATTATAACATAAAAACAATATACCAAGATCACAAAGTAAGGTATAATTAACAAGGGTTTCAGTATTCCACCAAGGAATAATACAGAATTTCACTAAGAAATTACAATGGTATAAATAATAATCCACATAGATATTTATTATTTATAAGGTAATTCACAAAGTATTTTATTAACAAGAATTGAATTGGAACTGATTGGAACTGGAACTAGAACTTAATCGAATTTGATTAAACTAAGAACTAAGCAAAGAGAAATTTAACCCTTTATATACATAATTGAAGTTATAATAGATTATGCTATAGACTACACTAATATATACACTATTAATTATACTAATGTATATACTATTAATTATATTTTCTACTATGCTATCTATTACACTATTCATTATACTATTGAATACACTATTGATTACGCTGTACATTATACTGTTAATTACATTTAGATCTACAGTCGTAATACTTAATAGTTATACCAATTTCTAAATGATTTACATTAATAGTTTTCTATATAATATATACTAATAAAAATATGAAATTAAACTAATAAAATATAATTATAAATAGGCTAATACATGATAATAAAATAATAATATAATAAATAAAATAAGATAAAAATATAGTAATAATAAAATTTGACAACTAGAATCAACAATATATTTCCAATTTTTTTAACTGTCCCTGTTATACTTGTATACAAAATTATTTTGAAGTTCTGAAATTGCAATTTTGAAGAAAAAGTCAAAATAGTTTTTTATAGAAGATAAAATTATTTTATTTAAAACTTAAAATTTTTTAATTATTTAGATAAATTCCTTGATTAAAGATATATTTAACTAGATATTTTTACTTTCATATATAGAATAGATTTTGTACAAATTTCAAAAAGATGAAATACCTCAAAAATCAAAAATTAATTTTGAATATATATATAATTCTTATGTCCTATATCTCAATGTTTTTATTATACTTGTATGCAAAATTATTTTGAGGTCCCAAAATTGTAATTTCAGAAAAAAAAATTGAAATAGTTTTTCATAGAAGACAAAATTATTTTACTTAAAATCCAAAATTTTTTAACTATTCAGATTTATTCTTTGATTGAATATATACATAACTGAATACTTTTTTTACTTTCATATATATAATAGATTCTGCATAAATTTCAAAAAGTTGAAATATCTTAAAAATTCAAAATCAATTTTGGAAACATGTATAATTTCTACTCTTAACTAACTTATAAATGAATATTAAAGAATAAATCTGAATAGTTAAAAAATTTTGGATTTTAAGTAA